CTACCTACACACTTTTGGGCAATTGCGTTCCTTACTTCCAGCCGAGAGCTCTTGTTTATTCAGTCTGGATGTTATTATAACGATATTATACTCCCCGTCATACCACACCCTACTCATTTCTCTCTGGTTGGATGGGTGTACCCTGATAGTAAGAACCAAGTCTTTGAAAGACTTCATAGCCTTGTACAGCTCAATACCTACTGTGTGTGATTTCCTCATCATATCATAATTTGGGCAACAACACGAATGCTATTACGTATAAGCCTGCAGACTAGCAAGTCTGCAGCTTTTCATTGAACAAAGTAGTCGATTACTAATTTGCATGTAACTCCAGCTAGACAGGGGCTACGGACAAGGCAGATCACTAGGGTGTATTGTCGAGGTATATTCCTCGGTAGTAGTGCAGCTGGACATTGAACAATCTATTGTTGCCATAGCATCATACAAAGGACGTGATAATTATGAATACGATCCCTATACTACTAGAGGGAGCTTCGAAACTTCATGAACAACTTCAAGTATGTGGCTAACAATAAAAGCCTACGAGAGCAAAACTCCGGTTTCTTATCGCATATATAGCGAAGACTGAGCACACCGAGTATGAAACTCCATTTTTTGTCCTCGTAACGTGATCGTCATCGGGAGAGTAAACTACGTGAGGTGGTAGACCACTAAGTCGTTTCCCTTCCTCAATTGGTCATGCGAGAACGTTTCCATATGTTCCAATTAGTGTGAGATAACTTTAAGAGTTATCTTCCAGCCTAGTACCACCATACACCAGCCTAAAATGGAAAGAGTTGCTAGTGTTCGTACCAAACAATATAGTGCACTCTCCCACGTGTCAGAGACAGAGGACTGGAGTCCCATACAAGTTCAATCTTCGTAAGTAACAACCCTAAGAAAATTCGATCCCTCATTCGAGATTTGAACTCCTTTTGTAAACTCAACATCTTACTCTAGTGTAACAGAAAGGTATTGCCAAGTATAGTGTTATGATGATGATGATGCCAACCTCTAACTCATCGGGTTACACTCAGGTATACAAAATGGCAGTAGTAGTTCGTCTTTAATAGCAAGCACCTTCCTCAGGTTGGGGTAGCTTCCTATTAGCAGCTGAGGTCATCTCTCGGCGTAATGACTCCAATACAGTTTCAATGGTGTACTCTCTGACATTAACATCATAATCATCTAAGTAGGAGGTAGCTCCCTTACCTTTTCCATGATCCTAAAGGACCCCATCTGGTGTTCACATGACCATTCTTAGGATCAGCACAGTTGATATTAATCTTAGTGTTGAATTTAACCTAAGAACACTAGTAGGATACCTCATACCAACTGTAGACAGTGCCTACTGTAGGAGCCTTATCGGGGTACTCAGGCCCACACTCCAATGTAAGAGAGTAGATCCTATTCTCGAATGCCGTCCCAGGTGGTCCAAAGATGGTACCATTCCAATGAGTGAGAGTGATATCATCTAAAAAGGACTTTCATGGGTATGGGGTATTATCAGCAGTTACCTGGTATCTCCAATCCAAATGTGCATCCACTGGCACACTCACCCTTCTGGCCCTTCTCTAACTCATCGAGAAGTCGGAAATTACGAGGGACGATTACCGCCATTATTTATTACTACTACTACGAGTATAAATATCAGGATCGCCTACTCAGATCCTAGCAGCAGCAGCGTCGTCACTTGCAATCTTGCATTTCCTCAACGCAGCACGTAGACGTGTCGTGGTCACCCTCGACAACCGAGTTGGTGATGTCGGCTAAACGTAAGCGTGTGGAGGATACTGAGAGGTTGCTGTATTTTGGTGTCTATCCTCATGGTATGA